GGCGCGGCCCGGCAAAACTGGCGGAGCGGCGGGGCGGCTGGTCCCGCTCCGCCAACTTGGGCGGCGGCGGCGCCGAGCGCGCTCGGGACGGAGACCCCGGCCGGGAGCGCCGCCGGCTCCAGCCACTCCGAAAACCCGGGCTGGATCTTGCACACGCGCGCACGCGGGGCACGCGCGCCCGCCACGGCCTTGCACACGCGCGGGGCCTGCGCGCACCCCACACGCACCATCCATGCACATGCATGGGTCCCACACGCGGGCTGTCCTGTACACTCACAGCTGCGCACACATGCACCCATGTCCATGCAGGGGGCTGTGCACACACACAGTTCCCACACACGGGCACAGGTACCCGCATGCCTTCGTGTACACACATGCAACATTTGCACACTTCAGCACATACACAGAGGTGGGCACACATGCATGCACCTGTGCATGAGTACACAGGGCGCAGACAGCGGCACAGATACCCCTGTACACATGCATCTGTGTACGCTCATGTGCAGAAGCACACACACGTGCATTTGTGCACATGTGAACAGACACACATGCACATACCCCGCATGCACAGCTGTGCGTAGAGCACAAACGCAGCACATGCACACGCAGGATGTACAATCACCGGCTAACACTCCTAATGCCCAGCCCGGCCCCGCTAAGGCAGCCTGGGGACCAAGGTCCCCAGCTGGAAGAGGCCAAAGCTCCCTGCGCAGGTAGGGTAGCTGAGGGGAGGGAGTGGGCAGACGTGGGATGCCTCAGGCTGACACCTCCCAGCAGGGCTCAGCATCTTGTGTAGCCCAGACACTGCTGGGGATCTGGACAGAGCCTGCACCAGCGCCCCGGGCGTTGCTGAGCAGAGACTACCCTCCCCGGCACTGGAATCGCCACCCAGCAGGAGTGTACCCATCTCCCTCAGGGACCCCAGGCAGGGACGAAGGGAGCTGGTGGCTGCAGCGAGCCTCTCTGCCCAGGATGCTGCCGAGGAAACCCTGAGCTGGCTTGCGGTTTGGGGGGAAACTGCGGGGAGGGGGGATTGCAATTGACAGGAAACTCCGCGCATTGTCCGTGGTCTGGAGGGGCCACCGTGGTCTGGCAGAGGTTCGTGGCAGCAACACCGCAGGGCCGGATTCTGAACAGGAAAGTGCCGCGTGGGTCACCACCTCTGCCCGGGGCGCTGCTGTGGCACGGGTGGCAGCACAGCCGGGCAGAGGAGAGTCGGCACCAGCAGCAGCCTCGGCCGCTGGGACGCATCACCTTGGCCCCCCCCCAGAGTGTCCAGAGCCCCCCCTCACCCCAAGACCCCGGGAGGTCCCCGGCCAAGCCACCAGGCACCCTGGCTGTGCCGCCAGCGTGCCGGGTACGGGGCTGAACGGCCCGGCCCCCGGGA